ACACGCAACACTCAGTATCATACGCAACACACACACAGTACACACACTCTGCTCTCTATACTGAACTATGGCAGCTATGGCTGCCGCTACCTATCGCTAAGACTACAGTGCTTCACTCTTGCCCCCTTCGTCTTCGGGCCTCCAGCAGACCTCCTTGCACTAGACGCTGTGGCAGCGCTACCGCATGGCTTCCGCCTGAATGAATGAATGGCTGGACGCAGCCTCTTGATTTATACTTCTGCGCTGCTTTGGTCTGCCCTGTGTCCCTGGCCCATGGTGCACACAGTCCCCCCCGTGGTACTTGCTGGACCGGACTGGTACTTTCTAGACTCTCCCATGACTGCATGGCGACTACCCTACGACGCAGTGCAGTTGCACTGGGGTCCTACTATTTGCCCTTGCCACTTGTCCTCGACTCCAACATGGGCTTGCTTTAGTCACACCACTTGCCCACTTGCCTGCACCACTTGACCACTTGCCAACCTTCTAGAAGGACTGCAACTAGACTTCTAATCTACAGGTCTACAGATCGAATCCTGGCTACCTATAGACCTACGACAGGCCTACATACCACTGGCGGTTCTACAGGTCGCAGGTTCAATTCTTCGAGTTGACACAGATATTGTACACAGGTAAGTTGGGGAACTAGGGATCGAGCCCTGGGTTCTGCATCAGCTACTTCGAACTGGTGAATTCCGTTTCAAAGTATAGAATTTCAATTAAATATGAACAGCTGCTGCAGCAGGCCGTTGAGCATATTAGGAAGTCTCAGGATGCTATGATTGCATCTGAGAACAAACACAGGCGGCCTTCTACATTCCAAATAGGTGACAGGGTTTGGGTTAAGTCATCTGAACTTGGTCAGGAGTTGGGTGTATCCTGAAAGCTAATGCCAGTACCTTGGCCCATGGTTAGTCCTAGACATAGTCGGGGATCAGACAGATGGACCCTCCTATGTAATCAAGATCCCTGCTCACTTAGGCACACACCCGGTTTTCCATGTCTCAAAGCTGGCACCTTTCGCAGAAACTGCACAATTCCCTTCCAGACAATCAATGCTGCCCCCAACCATGGACGGAGAAGTCGACATTGACGACATTGTGGAACACAGAATCATGCCTGTGCCAAAACCTCCGGGTAGAGGACGACCTCCGAAACCACGGATGCAGTACCGAGTACGGTTCAGACACCATACTGATCCAAGTGAAGATCGGTGGTTCACCAGAGAGGAACTGCAGCAGACAGCTCCCCAAGTGATTGCAAGATATGAAAGAAGACGCAAGGGGAAAATGCCTGCAAATTAAAGGACTTCTCAGGGGACTTTCAAACTTGAGGAGGAGGGAATGCGAGGATCTGACTCCTCAGCAGGCCTGAGGGCCCTATTTGCAATGTGTGCCCACCCTAAGTGAAGGCGGGCCTGATAAAATTACGAGAGGCCCATTGTTGTCTATTTCGCATATGGGGTTCAGACAATTGCGTCGCGTCAGTTGGTTGAGGGAACCCATGCCACGGCCAGCAACACTTTGCTTCAGCCTTCTAGGCCTTTCTTGGAAGCAGGTCCTGGGCCGCACACAAACGATGAGGCACGACAGACAGTTTGGGGGCTGTAACTGAACAGGCCCCACGGCAGCAGGGCCTACCGGAAGCTTCTGGGCACAGGCCCAGCACAGCCAGGCAGCAGACCAGGCCAGGCTCTTTCCATATAGGAAAGAGCTCGCTGCCTGGCCAGGCATTCGGGCACTTGCCAGTTGTGCGGCAGTGCTGCTTGAGCCTGCGCTCGCGTGCTGTAGGCCGCGCTAAGGCAAGGTGCTCGTGCACGGGCGGTCGTGTGTGAAGAGCGCTGCTGAGGGCAGCGCCATAGCTCGGCCTCCATAGCCGAGCTTGGGTGTACAGCAAGGTGATGGTCTTCGTGCATGGGGAAGAAGACGTGGGTGAGAGAGAGAGAGAGAGAGAGAGAGAGAGAGAGAGAGAGAGAGAGAGATGAGGATGATGATGTGAGGGCACATACCTGGTCCTGGCGATAGTCTGCAACGGGCGACATCTTCATGTACTTCGGTGCTGCTGCTGACGTCAACAGTTGTATTGTCAATTCGTAGGCTGGAAGTAGCTGTGTGATAGTAGTCTGGGCACTGAGCGCCCCTACGTCAACAGTTGTATTGTCAATTCGTAGGCTGGAAGTAGCTGTGTGATAGTAGTCTGGGCACTGAGTGCCACGTAGGGGAAGGGCCCTGGATACTTATGTTGGTGATGGCGAAAATAAGCTGTCATTGACACTCGGATTCAGTGTTTCGGTTCTCCCTTGGTGCAATATTGGTTCAATTCTGCTTTCTGGACAGCGTGTAACTTCCTGGCTTTCAATGTCATGTTTGCAATCTGGAATCTGTCATTTCGCTATTGCTCTTTTTCCCTGCACAACTGACTGGCCCCTCGTTAATTCAGACTTATTTTACTCATCTGATTCCATCTGGATACCAACCGTCGTCTGTAGTTGATCAGTTCATAGGTGTGTCGACTGAGCTAATTCATTATTTTGTGCATCTACCTCAGCTCAACCTCTCCCTGTCGGCTCCATGTTGTTTTCCCCATCAGATAGCCATTGAGCATCATATCGCCCACGAGAATCAAGGGTGCAAGGTGTCCATCATAGGCGAAGCCTGACACAAAGGTAGAGAGGCGACGACAGTAGAAGATAAAGGCATCAGATGCCAGACGAGATTTGAAACATGCCCTGCTGTCTTTCCCCAAAACATAACACCCTGTCATTATGACGGTGCATGATGGGGATGCACAGCCTGCATGCATTCACGACAATGGAACCTGCGGCAGGAGAAGATAATGGGACCTGCAGCAGGAGAAGATAATGGGACCTTCAGTTCCGAGGGACAGAAGCGGCTCTGCATGGTAAAGAAAGAAAAAGAAAAAAAGAAAATAAAAAGGTGACTCTGTGCGCATTCCACCTGCAGTCACTGGTAGACCCACATACATCACTGAAAAGTGGTAGCAAACAGCAAGCAGCAGGAGGAGAGAGGGTCATCAGGGGACGCGGCAGTTGGTGCTTTGCACATCTGAAGCAGGTACTACCACCTCCGGATTCTCTTCGGGTTTTACTCACACTACCGTAGGACTCGTTCCACAATGCTCTGGACGCGATTGCGGTCAGATTCATCCAGGTCTGGTCGTCATTGCTGTCAGATGCATTTTTGAAAGTGCTAGTGTTGAGCATGCCCTTAGAGGGACTGGCTTGGTCATGGACACAGCGAGAGCGTGAATGCCGCGAATGGTGCGAGTGTGAGGTGAGCGCAAACCCATGCGCATCGGAATAACGAAGCCCATGGACATGGACATGACATTTCCTCCTCCTCTGCTCATCACATTCGCCTTCAGTGAAAATTGCATGGTAACTCTCACCTTATTCGTACTGTAAGAAATAGCTGACAAGTGAACTGAGAAGTGAAGTTTGCAACTACTCTGCATGACAAAGAAGCTGCAAGATCCCAGAAACACCTCCATGGAAAGAGTCTGAGAGAACCGCTCTCTTTTCTTTTTTCTTTTTCTTTTTTCTTTTTTTTTCCTTTTTTTCTTTTTTTTCTTTTTTTCAGGTTCCAAACACAAATCGGGTCCAGAGCTTAGTAGAAAACGTCTTAGCGAAAGTAGTGCGCGAGAGAACCACTCCGCAAACATCTACCTAAGTGAAATAAACTGAAAGAAAACTTAGAAAAGTTAGAAAAAAAAAAAAAAAAAAAAAAGTTAGAAAACATCACAGCTGTCAAGCAAGTAGAGTATTCCAGGCAGAAGACAAGGCCTGCGGGCAGAAAAGCAGCAGCAAGGGATAAAGCTAGAGTGAGGGACGGAGGGAGAGCAGGAAAGCAGAGAAGAAGGGAAGGAGGGGAGAAGGGAAGGAAAGACGAAAAGGGAGCAGGCAAGAAGGCAGGGAAGAAAAGACAGACAGGACACAGGAGGATGGAGGGGAGGGGTGAAGAGGTGGTGACGGGGTGATGGACTGAAGGGAGAAACTGACAAAGAGACGGGACAAATGGACAGATGGCTGGAGGGAGGAAGGGAGCAACAGAGGGACGGAAGGAGGGACGGAGGGAAGGAGGGAGGCAGGGACGGTTGTGGAGGGAGTAATGGAGGGACGGATGGATGGATGGACAAATGGATGGAAGGGGGAGGAGGCAAAGGACCGACAGACAAGGCAGGAGGGAGCGAGGGAGGGACAGCACGGCAGCTGGCAGGGGAATAGGAAGGGAGAAAAGGCAGCAGGAGAAGACTTAAGCAAGAGAGGGAGGCAGAGACAGGGTCAGATAGACAGAGTGACCAGTATAGATAGGAAGCCTGGGAGATGGTGATGATGCGAGGGGGGATGAGACATCAGAGAGGGGACAACCTTCACGACGAAGGGATACGAGTTTGCAAAGAAAGCAAGGAGGAAGAGAACAATCTGCGATCCAGGCAGGTGTCCGAGGGCATACTCAAGCTAGTACTTTCCTAAATGTAACTGACCACAATCACAGCCAGACCTGGATGAATCTGACAACAATAGTGTCTAGAGCTTAGTAGAAAAAGTCTTAGTGTAAGTATGCCCTGAGAACTGCAATCTAGCATACCAGCACAAAGGATTATCATTACTACAAGTTCGAAACACAAATCGGGTCAGAGGAACACACAATAGCACCCCTGTAGTGAGCATGCCTGAGGGTATTGAGGGTCTTGAGGGTCTTGTTGCGATTAGGAGCCTCTAGCCTACCTTTGTTGCAACCAACTCGTCACTCTCCTTCTTTGGAGGCTTGAACTGTTTACCTGCACCATTGCAAGGAATACAAGTTAAAAAATAAGTGAGCGAGCACCTCCCGATATCACAGTTCATAGGTCACACTGCTGAATCTCTCTCTCTCTCTCTCTCTCTCTCTCTCTCTCTCTCTCTCTCTCTCTCTCTCATACACACACACAAGAGAGCAAGCACCTCCCGATATGACAGTTCATAACTTCATAGGTCACACTGCTGAATATCCCAAACTCTCTCTCTCTCTCTCTCTCTCTCTCTCTCTCTCTCTCTCTCTCTCTCTCTCTCTCTCTCTCTCCCACACACACACACACACACACACACACACAGAGTGTGTGTCTCTGAGTGGCCTGGCCTGCCTGGTCCATATATTTCGGTCATTCCAGCTTGAGAAATTGTGACTGTTTGTCAGATCTTTTTTCCTTTTTTTTTTGAAACTCAGACTTAAAATTTGACAAAGGAAAAAAAACATAGACTAAGGGCGAGCCAGGAAATGGCACAAATTGCCCACTCCAACGCTGACCTATACGAATCGAAAACACCCTACCCCCCTTCAGCCACAAACAAAAGCCGCCCGTCGGACAATAACGGCTCACCTAGAAAGAACACCATCATGCCATCCATCCCAGGCTCCAGACCTCGACCGACAATTCACGGTACAAGAACTCCTTGATGCCCTGCAGATGATGGGGAGTGGAGCGATAGAGCACCCGCCATCGATGGAATGACCAAGGAATTTCAGTCTCACTTCTGATGCAACCGATAGAGCTCCCGGCATCGATGGAATGACCAAAGAATTTCAGTATCACTTCTCTGGGAGCGATAGAGCTTTCGGCATCGATAGAATGACCAAGGAATTCCGGTCTCCCTTCTGGTCTGTTCCAGTAGAGGACTTGTCCCATATCTGCAACGACAGTTGGGACCGCGGAGGTCTGTGCTCCCACTCCAGCGCCAGCATTGTCTCTCTCCTATACAAGAACCACGACCGAGAGGATCTGAACAGTTACAGACCGCTCTCCCTCCTAACGGTCCCCTGCAAAATACTACGTCTTCACCCGAATAGAACGCCCGGTCATTATGGCTGCATCTGGACTGAAAGTTGCCCCAAATGCGACTATAATGACCGCGCATTCTATTCGGGTGAAGACGGTAGCAATGCCCATGGCTAATCGAACTCGGAATGTAACGGACAAGTGCTTCCTTCTAGACCAAGCAGGCTTCATCCCAGGTCGTATATCCCCGAAAGCGTAATGTCCCTCAACGAGGCCTCAAAGTACACTGCAGAAATACGGATGCAACCCGCCATTCTCTTCTTCGATGTTAAAAAGGCGCATGACCAGGTTAACCAGGATTTCCTACAACGACGCATCTGACATGGTGCAAGTCAACAGGATATGGCAAAAAAATTACCGTAAATTCCTGTACAAAAAGAAAGAAAAAAACCCAAAACGGCGCAGCTGGGATTTTCTACAACAACTGCATAGCCAAAAAATGGAGTGGGAAAAAAAAATAAAAAGTAAAAAAATGGAGTGGGAAAAAAAATAAAAAATAAAAAAATGGAGTGGGAAAAAAAAAATAAAAAAAATAATAAAATGGAGTGGATGAGAAAGCCAGGGAATGGGTAAAAAATATAGGCTACCAGAGTGGCCCGGGACACGGTGCCTGGCAGGGAAAAAAAGAAAAAAAGATTTTTTATTTCAAGTTTTGTAACGAATTTCGAAGCGACCCTGAGGCAAAAGTTGTTCAGTTTATTTTTGTGCACCACATAGTTTTTTTTTCAGTTTTTTTTGCTGGGGCCCTTCGCTGGCCCTCGCACGGCCGCGCCGCCCAGTCAAACAAGGTGACCCAGGCCGTCCAGCTGGTAGCCCAGGTAAAATCCTCTACAACGACGCATCCGGCATGGTACAAGTCAACAGGATAATATCCACCCCTTACCCGATCGCAGATGAGTACGCCAAGGTGCCCCTTGCTCCCACCCATCTTCCTATTCATTTTTTTTTTATGTGGCCCGAAGGACGGACCAGATATTGAACTGCTCAGACCAGATACACTGCACTTGATCAGAACATATACTATACTTGCTCCCCCCCATCTTCCTGTTCATCATGGAGGCCATCGAGTTTTTTCTGACGAACGATCCGTCCATCAACAGACGGTCAGTCAATTACAGTAATCCCATCCACGACTACGCAGTGCCAACCCGCACTCATGTTTGCCAATTGCCAATGGTTTGACTACTCTAGTAGGGGCCACCAACTCTTCATTTCACACTCCGAGTCCGCGCTATGGAAGCACTCGGACTGGTGTCAGACATGAAGGTCAATCGGTCCAAAAAACAGGTTGGTGCATTGCCGAGGACTCCCCCGATGACCGGCGAGCTTTCGGGACCAGATTGCCAGGAACGACCACTGGGGCGGGCAGAGGCCCGGCTGTACCTAGGGATTATGGTAGACAAGGGGACGGAACCTGGTGTGGCATGGGACAGAACCTGGTGGCCAAGGCAGTCACGATGTTAGTTCCATGCAGAAAAGCATTCTGCTTCATCACTCTCCACCCTGTGCTACACGTCCTCCATCCATTCTCCTCCCGACGAGATCCTGAAAGAACTCAACAAGGGAGCGAGATGCTAACTTTGGACAGGGATACCCCTCCAATCAGTCCTACATTAACAAGGTGGCCTCGCACTGCATCACAAGGAAACCCGAGGAAGGAGGCTTAGCCCTACTAGACCCCAAACAAGGAAGGCATTGCACTCCAAAATGAACTGGGTAATCAAACCCACACAACCCACATGTGTAACATCACGCATGCATGCAAAAGTGTCTCCTTCTCTCTCTCTCTCTCTCTCTCTCTCTCTCTCTCTCTCTCTCTCTCTCTCTCTCTCTCTCTCTCTCTCTCTCTCTC